GCTCGGTGGCCAGACCGCCACACACAGAGAGACAGCATCATGTGGGTGTGCACTGTGTCTCCATGTGTGTGACCGCGTCATGCGGGTCTGAACTCGCGTATCGGCATCTCAAACGAAGCGTCGGCCTGCACATTACGCACACACACATCGCACAAACATGCATGCCTCTCTCTGTGTGAGGCATACGTCAGGTTTGTGTTGAGTGGCGGTTCTCTGCTCGAGGCGACGGCTGAGCTGCAGATCTTACCTCTCATCGTCTACAGCTGCAAAGTTTGTCCAAAAGGCATCGAAGGTCTGTGAATGGATGGATGGATGGCCTGGTGTGTGTGCCATGTCTGTGTCTGTCTGTCTGTGTGTGCGTGGTGGATTGGATGGTGCAGGGACGGTGTTTGCCATCCTGATGAGTGTGCGCAACGCCGGGGCCCTGCTCAGCAAAGCCACGTACAGACTGACAGACAGACAGACACGGGCCGATGTGATGGGCACACCCATTTCTCTCTGTGTTTGCTCCACCACTCAATGTACTCATCTCTCTCTCAGGTCCGCATTTTTCACTTATGAGCTCGGAATCACAGCAACAGACTTCACCAGTGAGTAACCGACCACACACCACACCCCACGCCCACACACCACACCCACAAGTATTATATGCATATATTTCTCCGTCTCTCTGTTTATGGGATGCGTCTCTCTCTATAGATCTGCCCTTTTACGTGTGCATCTGCTCTGTCTGCCTGCTCCTGCCCCTCCTGCTGCTCAACAACATCCCCGACGAGAAAGACATCCCCGAGGTCATCAGAGAAGAAGAAAAGGCCCTGCTCGGCGAACCGTCTCGAGAGGCAGCATGAACCAAGGAACGAGTCAGTGAGAGCGTGAGGGAGGGGCACCAGCACCCACAAGGACCGACAGAAACACACAAAAAAGGACAGCCCCCTCATCCACACAGACTGTGAGTGAAGCATGACAGTGATCATCATGACTTGGTGAGAAAGTCCGTCTCAACGAAATGCCTGACGCACATCCACACGCACAAAGCCACCCATACACACCGCGACACAAGCATGTACGCGACACACTTAACTTACTGGAAGCACTGCAGCAGCAGCGTCTCGAAGTCACGTATCTCCGGGGCCAGCAGCTGGTACAGGAGGGGCGGCCGACGACGCATGATAGTGGGGCTGCTGTCGCCATCAACGAATGACGTGTACCGGGGCCGCTTGCACGGCCCATCAACCTGATGACGTGACGCACCGGAGTGCATACCATACATCAGTGAGTGGCGTGTGTAGATATACGCGTCATTCTGACCTGTCCTTCCTCCAGCTGAGTGTCGTCGCCAGCTGCGTCGCCGTCGAAGCTCTCACCTGCACGAATGCACGCAGGCAGCCAGGCAGACGCATACCAACACAGGCAGCTCTGTTTTGCTAATCGTGCTGACTCACCTCTGCCCCTCCCCCGCCCGATGCCTCCTCGGTCCCGCCCTCCACGGCCCCTCATGAGCCCACGGCCCCGTCCCCTGCCGCGGCCGCGCGCATCGGCTGCGCACCCGAAGGCAGGGTGCAGGTGCCGCTGCTGCTGCTCCAACATCGCTGTCCGACCGAACGCAGACCTCACGGCATCGCACCAGCGCACCACAACACCCTCAGTCAGCACGAAGGCCGCCACTCAACACACACGAAAGAGATGGAGGGGCGGGAGAGGCTGGACGAGACGAAACAGATGCGTTCTGCCGCCTGCAGCCGCCCGCCGACTCGACTGGCGACACTGCTGGCTGGTGTCGGGCACACACGAATGTGTAGTGCGCGATACACGAAGCCGAAACGTCACCGGGACTACAAAACACGATGTAAACGGAAGAGCACTATCGAAGAGCACTATCACACCACTAAACGTGTGGCTGGGGATGGCACCCAGCCACACGCGCACCACACGTTCCAGTCATCAGTTTGCAAAGAGTCGTGCGCATCAAGGCGGCCCCCTGGGTGGTTTTGGGGGGTAACGTGCGGACCTATGGTTGTGTGTGCATCATGACCGCGCTGCCGAGGGCTACACACACACAACAGATCAGCCCCAGACACCTCGACCGTGTCGAGATTCGCGAACCCTGAACCCTATAAACCTCGCGAACCCTGAACCCTAGAGGCATGATGTTGATACCAGCATGACCGCGTCTCCGTCCTGAGCAACATGGGCGTCACAGATTGTCCGTACGAGGTCAAGATCACGAGATCTGATCTCCCCAACAAGACATTAGGGCGGCCATTGCGCAGCAACCACGGCGAATGAGCTCTCGATGAGTCAGCCATTTTGACCGCCCTGACGCACTGACTCATTCATCTGCCCCTCTCGACCCCGCCCTCCCTCTCCCTCCCCCTGCAGCGACCCACCTGAGGTCTGCCAATCACTTCCCCCTCTGCCGCACATCGACCGCCGGCGCCATCGCGTCCTCTCCCGCAGCGCCGCATACAAGACGTCCGGCTGGCTGACCACCCTCCCATCGACAGACAACAACACTGGTCTTGATGCTGCGGAGTTTCGAGATGCCCTCAACATGCGATACGGCCGTCACCCCCCTGGCCTCGCTGCACGCTGCGAGC